GCTAATGGAGATTCTGCTTTAAGCTCTTTGGGGGCAGGGACTGTTTTGTTCTGTGTTTGTACAGCACCTAGCACAATGAGGTCTTGGTCCGTGACTAGAGCTCCTAGGCACTATCATATACAAATAATAATAAAAAGTGTGGGCTAGTGCTTTGGGAGCAGGAGGATCTGGGCTTTCACATGTCACAGTGAAGTTCTAAGTAGCTGTGTCGTGGGCACTGGGAAATCCTACGTGACTATGGTTTTGTTACAGGAGACTGGAAATACTATATTGGGCATATGTAACTTGAACCAGCGTGGACCAATCAGGTGAGTTAGATGGGACCTTCAGTAACTAAAGCATAAGCCTCAAACAATTGAATAAAGAATTAAATCCCTTAGGGCTTGTGCAGGCTCGGATAAAAGGTGTATTTTCAAAACATGTTGGTTAAAGCAATTTAGCCAACATGTTTTCAAGCCCTAGTGCTGTGAACCGAACAAGAGGTATTTTAACAATTCCAGCTAACACACATTAAAATACAGCTTGTCCCGTCCACAGCAGGATTTTAAAATGTCAGCTAACTTGCTTTAAAGACAGGTTTCAGAGTAGCAGCCGTGTTAGTCTGTATCCGCAAAAAGAACAGGAGTACTTGTGGCACCTAAGAGACTAACAAATTTATTAGAGCATAAGCTTTCGTGGACTACAGCCCACTTCTTCGGATGCATATAGAGTGAAACATATATTGAGGAGATATATATACACACATACAGAGAGATGCCTTTATGCCAGTCTAGATGTACCCTCAATTAGCAACCACAGACTCTTCAACCCCTTCTGTGAAAATCAGCCACAAGAGGGGGACAAAGACTGACTTGTGGGGTTACTGAAGGTGATTGTGCAGATACCGACCCCTATGTGGGTCGCTACCCCTTGAAATGAACTGTGTATTTCAATGACTAAATGCTCACGTACATGTAAAGCCTGACATCACATGCATTAGCGAGTGGTTTAACCAAAATCCCCAGCCTTCAAACCCCTGTGATGTTTGGGAATGTTAAAAATCCAAATGTCGCAAGTCCTTGCAAGGTCTAGCCCTCAGTAGCAATCTGGGAGAGAGCCACCTGCTGGTGCCCTGCTGGTCCCCTCTGCTAGAGGGGGGTGGTGGAAAGGAACTATGGCTAGATAGCAGCAGGAAAGGAAGCGAGGGGAGAAAGCGGCCATGTGAGCTGGGATGGGAACCACTTGCCTGTGTGGTGAGGACCTCCAATAAAATGTGTTCGTCAAGCGGGATTGGCAACACACAGCGTCTCCCGGGAGCGGGAGGGTGAGTCCACCCACCTCTCCTAAATCGGGGGTTTGGGGAGTGGAAATCACTATACGAGGACAGATGCTAAATTGAATTTCCACTGGGAGAATGGGGGAGGATCAGGGCCGGCTCTAGGCACCAGCAAAACAAGCTGGTGCTTGGGGCGGCACATTTTTAGGGGCAGCATTCTGGCGCGGGCCATGCCGCCCCTAAAAATGTGCCCCGGCCGCCCTAACTCACCTCCGCTGCTGCCGCTCGCGCGCCGCTGCTCGCCCTCCCTCCCAGGCTCTCAAACCCAGGAGGGAAGGGGAGATCCCGAGCGGCCACGGTGCACGAAACAGCTGTTTCACCCTCCCAGGTTTGAGAGCCTGGGAGGGAGGGGGAGACCCCGAGTGGCCGCGATGCACGCGCTGCTTCTCCCTCTCTCTCCCTCCTAGGCTTGAGAGCCTGGGGGGGGAGGCAGGGCTGGGGATTTGGGGAAGGGGCGGAGTTGAGGCGGGGCCAGGGGTGGGGTAAGAAAAAAACGGGGGGGCGGCCAAAATTGTTTTCGCTTGGGGCGGCAAAAATCCTAGAGCCGGCCCTGGGGAGGATGTGGATCTTTCCGGTGTTTCTGTCAAACTCCTGCGGAAGTGAAGCTCTAGGACAGATGTGGGGTCATCACTGAGGCAGAGTTTAACAGAGGCTGCCTCTGGGTTGGCAAAAATAAACCCCATGGTTCCCTGGTGGTGTAGATCCATAGATGTTAATAATGGTGAAAGCACTTCCCTGGGCAGGGCTCAGCTGTTCCTAACCACTCTGCTGTCTAACACCTGCAGACATCATACAGGGAGAAAAATGCCTGAGCCCTGTCTCCACTATGGCTTCCATCCTTGCTCCTGCCAGTGGAGCTGGGACACTGGGGAATTCCATGCTTGATTTCTGCCAGCATAGTCCAGGCTAGAAGGATCAGCCCTGGAATTTTATGGGAGGTTTTAAATATATTATGATAAGGGCTCTGGGGTTACAGTCCTCTGTCTGAAAGAGGGTGGGACTTCCTGGCAGCAATCCACTGAGCTGGCAACAGGACAGGGTATGCAGGTATTTCTTCCCACTGCAGAATCAGAGTTTGCAGGAAAGCCACCCCATTTTCTGTAGCAATCGTTATTCGGTTTCTCATAACAACCCCCCGCTCCCGTGGCTCCAGTCCAGCATTTTAGAG